TGAGATTCCAACATGTACTGCTGACTGACTTGCACTGTCTCCATGGGATTTTATGATTTTATATTAATGTATTCTTACTGGAAAAGTCAGTGCTAGGCCAAGGAGAAGCTGTAAGAAAAAAATATCTGTAAGAAACATAGCTGTTTCAGTGTCCAGATATAATGGGATATAATTTTTTCCCCCTTCTTTTTTCCTTTGGAAATTTTCCCTTAAGCTGTACAAAATGCAATGGGATGCTTGTGTCCTCAACAATAAATTATGTGTGGATTCTGGTAATCAGTCATGTTTGTAGTTTTGAATTGTATTGGGAGTTCTGATGCCTAGTCTCTGATGTTGAAGAAGTTGCAGATGTCTTTAAAAGAAAACATCCTGCTTAAAATATGCCCTTTTTATGATCATCAACAGCCACCTTAGTATGGCTGTGTAATGAAATTGACTTTTCTGTTCTCTTTGTGGTTTTATTTCCATTTAGCAGTGACTTTGCCTAATCCACTTTTAATAAAAAGGAAAAATACGAAAGAAAATACTTTTCCTTAGTATTTGTCTAGGAAAATCTCTTCTTGGCACTGATTACCTCTCAGCCTACTCCCTATTCATATGATCTGTTCAGATGTCTGTGGATGATAGTTAGAGAGTGGATTTTAGCCTCAGTTCATAAACAATTGTGCTTTCTTGCAGGTCTTGTTGAATAATGACGAATATCCAGATTTTTGATGCTCAGAGCCCCCTCCCATAACAATACACTGCAGGCACAGCAGCATTTTATTGCTACTCTTGCAATTTTTTGTCTGCTCTTGCAATGTCAGTAAGTTTTCTGATGCTGGTAGTAACTTCCCCCCATTTCTGCTGCTTTGTTCTTTTTTTCTGGAGCCTCTGGAGGGAACATGGAAGATGGTTTTGATGCTGGGGGGCCTGCATACAGGATTTAATGTTAGTATTTATCTAGATACAAATATTTAGAGCTATACTAATCACATATACAGAAGGAAGCCCCTCACACTGTAACGCCTGATGATCAGAAGAGTTATCCACTTGGCAGTAGCTAAATTATCACTGTGAAATTACCAAATCCTACAGAAATGTATCAACTCTGCAAGAAGGTGGAGCAAGTTAAGATTTAAACATGGAAGAAATTCAGATTACTTCTCTCACTTTTGAACAGACTGTAGTGCCTCTGAGATGAAATAGCAGCTGAGAAGTCCATCAGCTGATGGTTTGTTACTCCCTGAGCAGGGACATTTTCCTGTATGTACTTTGGGAACAGAATGAATAGATCCTGCCTGCCACTGCAGGGAAGAGCAGAAGAAAGGCAGGGTGCAGGTTTGGGAGCTGCTAAATTTTGAGGAGGTTTATAACTGGAGATTCATCCAGTCTGCTAATTCCATTCTGCTCCTGTTCCTTTCCTCTTTATTTTCAGATAGTGAAAGACCATTTTACTTCATACACATGACAGAACACCAGCCCGTCAAACCTAGATGGTGTGACATGGATGATGTGCGTGTATGTCAGTGTGGGGGACTGAGGATGTTTGTGTCGGGTGTTGAAGAGAACCAAGTGGTTGTGTAAGATGTCTCCTGTACTAGAGGCAGGCTGAAATTCTTCCTGTCCCACAAGTGAAGCAATCCTTAAAGGGGAAAAAATAAAATTAAATCCACTTAATTCTTGAGGGCTCTTTTGCATCTGTCAGCATCCTGGAGAGACTGCTGTTTGCCAGGACCCTTCTTTGGTCAGCCAAAATTTGTTCTCCCTTCTTGCAGCAGCTGGTCATTCAAACTGTATGGTGATGTTTGTTTGTAAATAAAAGTATGTTGTTACTGTATCTTAACAACAGAGGCTGACATTTACTTTGGGAACCAGTGTGGTTTTCTGGTTTAGTTGGATATTTTGATGTAAGCCAAAGGAAAGAGTTTACTTAAAGCTAAGCAGATGAGAAAACATTTACATGAAAGCCTGGAAAGACTTCTTAGTGATGAAGTTGAAAGCAGGAATATTTCCACTGCATTGTAATAAGACAGGGGCATTCTTTCCTTTTATACATATTTGTGTGAAAAAAGAGTGTTGGAGAGCATGTGGAGCACAAGATGAATGCAGAAGGATTTGCTTTCTGGTGTGCTGAGGCTAAGCAAATATTCAGACAGTCTTATTTTGCTGGCAGCCTTGCCATTGAGACATCCAGTATTAAAGAGACTTTCTGTAATATAGATGAGCCACAGTGTCCAGTCTTTCACAATTGCATGGGAAAAAAAGAAGTCATCCAGAAGGCTTACAAAGCAGAAGTATTTGATATGTACAGAAAAAGAGGATCTGTGGTACTCTTACATCACAGTCTCTGTAAGCTAGTAGTTCTGGGAGTGAGTAGATCCGCTATGTTTTTTGTATGCAAGTAGTTTTCCCCTTCAGAGAAAGGGGAAAACATAAAGATAAGGACATAAAGATAAGTTGTGCTGGCCTTGCAAAATACAAATGGAAGTTTGCTGAGTTGGAAGGTCAGTGCATGGCCAGCTCCTGGAGTCCATGACAGGGTCACCACTCTCTCTGATGTTGAGTTTCAGGCTCTGGCAAAGTTGGCAGCATTTACAACAACAAAGTGGAAGACACTCTCCCCCTTTCCCCTGATTTTTTTCTCCCTCTCTTGCTCTTTCTCTGTATCTCTCAGTGTGCATTTAATACAAGTCTCCCTTTCCCTGCTCCGGAGCTTTGACCCTTCCATCCTGCCAGCTTTCCCATTACTGCTTGCATGTAGCTTACCTCAGCGTAAAGCAACGTGGACAGGAGATGAAACATTTCTCTTGCAATATTCTTACAAATACACCCTTGGTTTGAAGAGCTGAGCCAGTTGCTGTGTGTGTTGCTGAGGGCAGCAGAGGAGGGGAGCAGGCAGGAACCTGAGCGGGTGCAGTGCTCTGAAACTGAAGCTGTTTCTCTTCTTGAACTGAGGTGTTTGACCTTGAACCTTTTTCTTTCAGCTGCCTGGGATTATTTCTGTTGTTAAACTGCTGTCTGTGGACTCAGGCTGTGTAATAACTGAGACGAAGGCCTAATCCCTCTCCAAGGCAACCAGACAGTTCAGAAATTAAGGAATTCTGGCAGTTGAATACGTGTCGTGTGACACGGGCATTAATGCTACTTTAGGCTGTGATGCCAGTGTGTAAAAGCAGTGTGTTTGGAGGGGGTTTAGAAATGTAGCAAATAAAAGATACAAGTTTGCGTTGCTGTGAGATGGAAGTCAGCTGTGCCATGTAGAGGATAATGCTGTGAGATGGCTTTGCACTGATACTGGAGTTCTCTGACTGCATCAAGTCCCTTCAGAACAGAAACTGTAGTGAAAATGTGAATGACAGAGCTAGCAGTCGGGCAGTATGTCTGAGAATTTTGTACAAATACTACATTTCTTTGAAGCGTGTCCAGAATTACTCAGAAATGGTTCTGTCTTATGTGCTAGACAGTGTACAACCATGTCAACTTTCTGTGTAAATGTCAAACAAATTAAGATGGTTTTAGAAGAATCTGAATATGAAAGGGCAGGATATTTAACTGTAAATAGAAGGCTTAGGGAAATGTCTTCATGGCCAACAAAATGAATCTATATTTGTGCTGTGGCTTCATGTCAAATTCAGGAGTTTAGTAGGACTATTTGGACAGGCTTTTAGCAGTGCTCAGTGTTTAATTATAAATAGCAAAGTTACATGGAAATTAATTGTCTTCTTACAGATACTGAAGAAATCTAAGTTTGTTTATTCTTTGTATTTGCTTTTAGTGCATTTTACCTTTAAAATCCTAAAATTCCAACATCCCTAGCACTAGAACTGTTCTCTGTTCTTTTGTGATTTTCCCCTACTTGCACTTGAATTTTGTGGAGTATAGCATGTTCATTTTCTTGCAGTACAAGCTATACAGACACCAAACTGGGCAAAATGGCTTCAATATCATAAAATTGTTTAAAATTCCTGCTGATGATGGAGAAAGTTGAACTCAAGGCACATGAGTATTTCAGTCTATGTGGTGTGAAACAGGACCATCGATGACTTCTTTTCTTTCATTTTGTGTCTACATTGCCAGCTCTGCTAAAGCCTGAAACCCTCTGGTATCACAGATGGCAGTGGCCTCTTTGTTCGCTCCAGGAGGTGGCCAAGCACTAAAGAAGGTTCTCAGGCTGTGCTGGGCCATGTGGACAAGGTTGCACCAGTGTAAATGGTGAAATATCACAGTTCCTGTGCTGATGCCTAAGAGAGGTTACAGTGCAGCTCCTTTGTTTCCTTAGCCATGTTAACTGTTCAAAATGAATAAGAATAGGATAAGTATCTTGGGTTTTAAATTGAGTAAATTCTTTAGACTGATACACACAGAACAGGTCTATTTATCTCAAGGGGGCATCTTCTTAATAGCAATTTTCTCTTACTAAAATTATGAAGGCATGAGATTTTCAATGTTACCAGAATGGCCTCTGTCATAATTTCTCCTGATTTAAGTTGCAGCTGAGTAGTCTGACAGACAGCACTTTGTTCAGTCTGGTCTCTGATTTTAGAGCTAACTATCTGCATTTTTCCCCACATATATTTAATAGTTTATTTGTGGTAATCGCTTTCTGCAATGGTAGAAATGGTAGGCTTGTACAATTTGCAGTATTATATTACTAGCTTGATTGAAGTAAATGCTTACCAAACAACTGTAATTGGTAAAGATTGTAGGCAATCTGCAAGGTATTGTAGCATTTTTAAAGTTGTTTGAAACTTTTAACTCATGTGTTGAGCAATCATAGTTCTCAGAAAACTTTTGTGTCCTTGTGTCTTTTGCTTTAAATAGGAATACATATGATATCTAGAAAAGCATTTTTATAATTTGGAATCAGTTTAAAATGAAGGAGAACTCTGATTTTCATTTCATGCCTGAATTTACCTAATGATACCTTTTGCATACTTGATATATGTCAACTTTATAGTCTGGCGCATATGGTAACATCATGTGTTTGTTCACTTTACTAAGTGTTACTCTCATTCCAGGAATGCAGTTGCTTGGCTTTTGGGAAGACATGAAAAGAGTAATTTCAGATTCTGAATTGCTGTCTGGTATTCCCTATTCATCTGCAGTACCAGGACTGATACAATATCTCCAGAGCATCACCAAACTTGTAATATCAGTGCTGTCAGTGACTGCAGGTCCTGACATGCAGGGCTGTGGTTCAGCTGCTGCAAAGGAAATGGCCAAGCCCTCACTGTCAGTAGCTCTTCTCCTGCACTGTGAGTTCCATGAAGTGCGTCTGCTGGCATTGGAAGCAATACTGCTGTGCCTGAAACAAAGAAATTCCAAGCAGATTGCAGAAGGAAGAGGAGGTGTATTATGTTTACCCACTGATTTGGAAGACACTCTTCTCACAATGGCTCTGAAGGAAACAAATCCACAGTGTTTTTGCAAGGTAAGAGGGTGCTTTTTTATTGGCATTTTGTATGTTTTCAGTAAATTAATGTTTTTAATTTTTAGATCACATTTGTAATTTTCAAATATATATTTCAAACATGCATTATGCTTTTTAAATGGTAGGTGACTAGTTGGGGTTTTTTGACACTGAACAGGAGCTGTGCAATAATTTTGTAACAGATGTTCTTGTGTAAAAGCAAGAACTTCCTCTTTCCTTTCTTAGAACTGTCCAGAGAAAATCCTTTTGTTCTTGGAGTGGAGCTTAAGTCAGTGTTTTATTGATCTCAAATGTGCACATTCCTGTTGAGACTGTCTGTAAATTCTTTGTTTGTGAATTGTGTCTGCAGGTGCTGGAAATTCTTTATAATATGGATCTCAGAAATGTGCTTCCAAAGACTGAATGCTCTATAAAAATGAATCCAAATGAGCTCTTAACCTGGAGTTTAAACCTTGCAGATACCTCCAGCAGGTATGGTCTGTCATGCATGTTGAAATACATTTTTAAAACTTTCAATGTTGAACAGTAATATATTGCTTTAGGACTGCACTTTCATTTAAAAATCTGTGTTTCAGAAAAGAGAGTGTGGATTATTTGAATAAAGTGGGTTCATGAGAAATTTTCAGAGAAGTAAGACCTTTATCTGAATTACTAAAAAGGCCTACAAGTCATATTAGCATCTTGTAAATGTCCAGTTGTACAGTTCCTGAAACTCCATCAAAATAAGAAGTTACTTTGTCTGTTCAGTGACAGCCAGTGAGCATAGTTCTTCCTGAATGGTAATTGGGGAACACCCACTTTACTGTAGAATTAACAATTAGTATTAATGATCCAACCATGCACTCATTTGCTGTGAATCTGCCGTCCCTCCTATCCTGGTTTATGGGCAGATGGTTTGTTGAAAGAATCACAGATCTCATTTAACTTGTTGGATTGGCAGAAATGGTTAATCCTAATCCTTAGGGTTTGTACTCCTTATACAGACTGCAAATTCAGCAGAAAGCATTGAAAATCTGGAGCCAGATTGTGGATCCTACTGAATTAGAAGCTGTGCCCATGCATTCATAATGGAATGCACAAACAGGCTTACAGTGTTCCAACTAAGGGTATGACATCCTGTTTCTGAGAGTTTTTTAAGCCATGTAAACATTGCAGTCCAGTGTTAAAAGCATTGCACATAGAGGGTATAGAGTGTGGAACAGCATTTTATGGCTGGGCATATTTGCTGCTGGTTTGCACCAAGTTGTTCAAGTTCAAATGATGGGTTAATCGTCATCATTTGAATCATCATCACCCAGTCATTTCTGGGATGAAGTAAGATACTGCTGGTAAAATAACACTGATGGGTGCTGTTAGAGGGAAGTGGCTGAAATAGCAGGCCTTGCTGCTCAGGTGTTGCCATTCCCCATGGTGGGAACAGGCTTCAGAAGCCATAGTGCCAAGAGCCACATCCTTAGATCCTGCTAGACAGCAGGGAGGCTTGGAAGCTGGCAGTAGGCATATTCTGCACTAGATTTCTAGCAGCTGTACAAGAGATATTCCTGCAGCTAAGCACCAGCTTCAAGGGATGCATTTGTTCACAATTTAAAATAATGTCTGGTTTATTTAACTCAGGTTCCATTTTCAAATGTATTCTTCTATGAGAAGCATGTAAATAGAAAATAAGCATGAAAGAAGTGAAAGTAAGGGCATGTTTCATTTGCATGTCAGCTGAGAACTTAGCTAACATCTAGATCTCTAATGGAAAAATTTCAAGTGCTCAGCTTAAATAATATCCATTGGTGATAATCAGAAATAATTAAGAGCTGGCTGGTTTTCTTCTAGAGATGAAATGATGACAGAAATTACTGGCTTTTTGATATGTCCTCTGCCTTTTCTTCTCAGCCATGAAAGTCAAACCATAGCTCTCAAATTTGCCTCCAAATTGGTTATCCACCTTTTGCAGAACCATCAGCAGGTAAGGGAAATTGAGCTGGTTAACAGTTTTGTAATTCTGGAGTTTTTAATGATTGTATTAATATGTCTTTTTTAAGATCCAAGCCCCAAACTTGTGTTTCTTGTGTCCATTCATCATTTTTGACATTCATCGTTATGTCTTCCTCTTGGAATACACTTCCATGTTCTGAAATGACACAGCCATGAATATCATCTCAGTACATCCCTCTCAAAGGAATTGCAAATTAAACACATACATAAATATTTTGATGGAGTTATTTCAGCTTCTAAGCTCATCCAAAATGGTCACTATAATGTAGAAAGGGAAATGCCTGTGGTGTTTAATGCTTGTTCTGAATCCAGCTCATTTGCTGAACTGCAGCTTTGTTGTGGTTGCTTGATTTTTGGAGAGCCCACAGGAGAGCACATTGGGTGGGAAGGCACGAAGCTGAACCAGTGGTTGGGTGCAGTTCCCAGCCAGCTCAGATTTCTGTTGATTTTAAATTGTCAGTCGGGGATGTCACATATGTATATGTAGAGCAGTGCAAAAGCAGCTTTAGTGCTAGGTGTTTTTAAAAATATTTTCAAATCCACTTATTAAACAAAACTCTTATGATCTGTTTTAAAAGGAAGAGTATTTTCCTTACAAAGCTATTATTTTTTATAGAATGAGCAGCAGAATGGATTCTTACTATATGCTAATAACCATGTCTCATTAAAAAAAAATCAGATTTGCACACAAGAATTGGGAAACATGAATTATGATATTAAATTTTTTTTTGTTAAAGGCATAGTGTGAGTACTTAAAGTTAACATAACAAAGAGGAATTAATGAAAAATACTGTAGAAATCTTAAATAGAAATGGTGCAGCAACTTTCTCTAAGAAGCATATAAATCATGGGAGATCTAAGATATACCTACAGAGAGAGGTGTTGGCATTGGGAAAGACCAGGTATGTCAGTTTTCCATCTAAATTCTTTTTTCAGGCTTGCATTCAGTATTTACATCTGTGGAAGGGATTTTCTCTTCCATGAGGTAAAAGTTAAGTTCTGTCTTTCTAGATAGTCCATCCATGTGTCTGCTTGAAATTTGAGTCATTTTGGGAGATACTTATTTTTTGCTTTCACCCTTTATAGAATCTGTAGGATATGCTCTGGCTGTGTCCCTTTGTGCAGTGCAGATACATAGCCCTGTACCAGGCAGAATGAGGCAGAGTATGACTGAGGTTTCATTTATTCCTCAGTTAATGAGGTGGGTTGAGATGTGCCTGAATGGCACATCCCAGAGGTCATGAGCAGTGTCACAGGGTCTAGTTGGAGCCCTGTCACTTGTGGCATCCCAAGGGCCAATACTGGGCCCAGCACTGTTTAACTTCTTCATCAATGACTTGTGTGAAGGGGCAGGTGCCTCCTCAGCAGTCACTGACAGCACAAAGCTGGGAGGAGTGGATGACACCTCAGAGGGCTCTGCAGCCCTTCAGAAGGACCTTGGCAGGCTGGAGAGATGGGCAGAGAGGAACTCTGAAATTCAGCAAAGCACCACCCTATTTGTCCTTGGCTTGCATGTGTGGAAGGATTGAGGACGCAGAATTACGCTTTGACTTGTGTAGTCATTGGTGAGTCTGCTGTGAAGCAGCAAAGTCAAAGACTTGCCTGTGTATACTAAAAGAAAATTTCCCAACTTTTAAATGCTCACGTGGGTTTCACCACTTTGGAAAAACTGGGCATTTACTAATGAGCAATCTCCTTTAGGCAGGCCATAGTTCAATGTGATGGTAAGAGGTACATCATACTTCTCACATGTCTTGTGCCTTCAGATTTCAGAAGAAATCTTGAAAAAATGGGTTCAGCTCATAGTGTATTTTTGTGGAGACGAGCAAGAGACAGAGATGCTGTTAGCAGCTGCTGAAGTTCTTAAAAGTATAACATCATTCCTTCTGAGCAGTGAGAAGCTCATTCTTGGTAAGTAGCTTGAAAGTAATTTTCTGGATCTTTTTTGATGAAATCCATTAATACATGATTTCAAATGTATATGTATGCACAGTCAAAATATAATTACATCAAACAGAGGTTTTTGAAAATTTTAATAGGATTTAATTACTAAACATACAGATTTATTTAAATTCTGGTAGAAAAAGCATGTGTGCCCAGCCTCTGGCAATAACTCAGCAGAAGGGGCACATGAGATGTTGTTATGTCTCCAGGTCACTATGTACTGCTGTACAGAATTACTGGCTTGCAATTGTTCTGTGATTTGAGTCTTTCTGCAGTACTCTGTTGGTGAGCTGGACATAGTTTAGTTTAACACTGGGAGTGTAACAGAGCTGTGCTGGCTGGATGTTGAAATGAAGGGCTTCAGTCTAGAAATGAGGCGCATTCTACTATAAGAATGATTAATAATTGGATCACATTATATCTCCAGCTGTAAGGATTTTTGTTTTAAGTTAACATTAGACTGTGTCTCTAGAAAACAAAGAAAGAAGGAGAGCAAACAAAACCTACATGGCCTTATTCAACGGTACATTAGTGACTGGGAGGGAAAGCTAAGTGCAACTCTGTTTTGTTATGGAGAATAGATGGGGGTTTTCTTTTAGCTTTTTTTTTTTCCCTCTGCCTTCTGTAAATAGAAAACGGGGGGATTTTTTGACTAGAGGGCCAGGAGATATGCAAGAATAAGTAGTACTAGATAATAAAGAAAATATTTTGCATCCTGAACAGGACAGACATTTTTAGATACTTTTAACCCCATGATACTTCATTCCAGTGTAGTTATGTAAATGTTTTTAGTTTAAGTAGCTTCGGTCCATCCATGTGGCCTGGATACAAATATCTCTTATACAAAAAGAACAGTATATTTCTGTATACAGTATAATCTGTAGATGGTGGTTTGGGGAAAAATTAGCTATTATTTTGAGAAGTTCCGTTTAAGAGGTATTGGTAAATTTCACCAGGGCTAAATCTATATGAGGTAGACATGGCACTATTAAGTGTTTATAGTTTCAGCTCTGGAAATCTTAACCTTCACCATCTAGATAAAGCTCTTCATAATACAGACATCATTACAATTTTATTTCAAATGAAGACAATGGAAGTATTGGAGTAAAAAACTCCCAAATGCTGTGCTACTCCTCTGTTATTATGTGGATGTGGTCCATAGATGATGGACAACAGTTTCCTCTTTGATGTTGTCAAAACAGTTGCTGATTTCCATTCTTTCCAGTCAGGCAGATGTGAAGGTCTGAAATAAAAAATAGCAGCAGTTTGTATCCTGTGTAAAATCCTAGCAAAACAAATGAAAACAGACAAGTCAACCAAAATAAATGCTCCCCAAGCAGCCCAGAAAATAGAGCTCCAAGGCCTCAGTGGCCAAACCATCTGAATTAGGTCTTTACTCTGAAAATTCATCCGGGGGAGAAAGATGCAGAGCTGACCCTTCATAGTAGCTAGGATTGTCAATCTGGGGATCTTCACAACTGTGAAACTGTCAGTACTGCAGTGAGGAGTTTGGAAAATCAAAGGCATGGGCTGGTGATCAGTTGTAGTGATATAACCCAGAATAATTCCCTTAAAGGGGTTGTGTGCATGTAAACAGCTGTGACTTCTATGCCTTCTTCTGCATCAGCTTGCTTGACAACATATAGTAAAAAGTAGGAGTTAAAGGAAACTGTGGTTGTATGAAATTGAGTTGTAGTCAGTCCCAAAAGCTTCCATTACTATGTTCCTAAGAGAAAGAGGGTGAATACAGAGGGTGAATGAAAAGAGGGTCTGTAAGTTCTGGGTGACCACATCATCTCTTCATCAAGCTGCTTGAGGGTTCAGAAAAAGTCTTTATGCAAATTCCCTTTGCAACTTCCACTGCTTCTGGAGATACGGTAGAAACTGTATCACTTGTTTAGGTGGGAAACCTGGCTACTGAATCTGTAAGGGAATAATTATTCTGCCCTAGCTGTACCAGTGTAACATTATTGAGTGCGTCATGCTAGGAAGAAAGCAACTTCTTTATGAAATAATTATACTTCATGACATTGCAACATAGGGAAGTTACAGGTAATACAGGAATGCTTCTTCTGCCTGTGTAGTAAAGCCTAGAGCAATTTACTTTGGCCAAGCAGTGAAATACAGTTGTCTGGCTAGCCTTGTAATACAAATCTCGGATAGAACTGCTGAAAACATGGTAGAAGAAAATCAGCAATGAAACACAGCTCTTGTGTTGTTTGTGGTCACCAGAAAGTACTAACAGCTGGCTGCATTTAAAAGTGAGCTAACAGTGGATTCCTTTAATCAGGATGTTCAACAAGACCTGAAAAGTCAAGTTAAAAATACCCCAGCAAACCTAGGAGTGCAGACGTGTCACTTGAGCTAGGCATGCATGGTGTGGCAGCAGTAAATGGCCTGAGGGTCTGTAAGGGAAGCATAGCTTGTGAGATGTGGATTGTCACTGGGATGGTGTGTCCTGTCTGCCTGCTTGGGCGTTACCACACCAGCACCTCCCTCTTGGGCACTTCTCTCTGGTTGGTCTTAGCTGTGTATGTGTCATCATCACATGGATTGAACTTGTTTCCAACAGAGAGTGGGTGTAAGGCTGGCAGGGCCTGCTGGTCAGTGCTAGGGACAGGTGGATGTGGGAGAAGGAGGTGACGGGTAGATCCCTGGAAGGAAGAAAGCTTGGTTTGGCAGCCTCTGCTCCAGGCAGACTGCAGCAACAAGTCCATGATCAGTGTGTTGATCAGTGATAAATCTGCAGCCACGGAATTTTTGAAGCTGCCAAACAGGAATGCTGCACTCCTAGAAATTGTAGAAAACGGAGAGCACTCATGGCTAAAGTTGAACCCAGATAGAGAGGCCCATTCTCTTATCTGTTTGCCACCTAGATAAGGTTCACAGATCCTGAAAATACTTTGGTTGTATTGCCAGTCTTTTTCCCAGTGATTTGCCAATGCCTTTCATGTCTGGTGTTTAGGTGTGGAAACGGAGCTCTCTAAATTCTTTGAATGCATATAAGAAATAGAACTCTAATTTTTCTCCACAAATAAATATAGGACTGTCTGATACCCTTGGTCTGTGGAAATGTGTGATTCTACTGCTGCAAAATGAAGACTCAGTAGTAAGGGATGCTGCTGCTGAAGTGATACAAGTGGCGCAGTCAGAAACAAAGAGCAATGAAGGAGGTATGTTAACATTATTTTTAAATATTATTGAATGCTTGGGAGGTGAAAGTTGTGTCTTCTCGTCACAAATTTCTTGCTAACTGTAAGGTACTTCATCCATCTCCTATAAATATGTATCATAAAAAATAAAAGTAAATTTGATGCCTACCATGCTTTATTATTTTTCTTTTCCTGTTCTTGGTTTAATTTGCATATGATTACATGGAGATGTAAAAAAGACAACAGCAGGACTCAGCTTTATGGTTTGTGCTGTGATGAGTCACTATTCACATAATCTCAGATTGAAAGTTCTTTAATACCAGCTCTGGTCTAATAATGCAGTGCAAGACACTCCTTGAATCCCACGTTATTATAATAGCCTAATCACAGATAGGAATCTAGGAAGTAGTATTCAACTCATTGATTCATTATTAGACCTTGAAATCCATTTAGATTCAGATCAACAAAGACAATTCACAGCATACCCACAATGTGCTTTTAAGGATGTGGGCCTTTTTGTCTGCTTGCCCTAATTTACTCAACCCTGTTAATTTTAAAATAGCCACAAAACTTGAGTAGGCTTAACTAATTAATGTGCTTCACTTTGAGAGTCCTTGCTGACACATTCTTCCATGTTGTGAATAAATTAGAGCTTACTACCAAGCTCATCTCTCTCTGGTGGTCCCTGGTCTGTGCTACTCAGTAATGCCTCTACCAACTTGTCTGCTTAGTCAGCCTTCTCCATGTGAACTTCTGCTAAGGTGGAGATAAAGCAGCTCTGTGCTTTAAAAAAAATAGGAAAGGTAGTAAAATTATGTTTGCCACTGTTGTAGATAGAAGTGGCCAGGAATCTTCACGTGTGGCAAGTACGGTTGTGAGGTGGCACTGTTCAGGCACTGAGCTGTGTGGTAGGAGAAGGTAAAAGGAGGGATATGGTGTGGACAGCTTTCCCGTTCCTGTTAAATCCCACAGCTCTGGTTCCAGCACTGGCACCACAGCTCTGATAGTTCCTCTAGTCCCAGCTACAGCTGTGTTGAGTATCAATGGGCTCTGTGTGCATGTGCCTCAGGTCCCCAGTGCTGGCCTTTGGGGCATCTGCAAGTGTCTCAAGATGGTACTTTCTTTGGGTGTGCCAAATAATGCAGTGCTGGATTGTTTCTCTGATTCCTGTATTTTCTCCCTTCTTTCCTGTTGTATCCTGGTGCCAAGGGATATTTTCCTGTAACTGAATGAGAGCTCTGCCCTCTGTCTCCTAATTAATACTAAGGTCACCTCAGTGATTGCTCTCATAGCTTACCACTTGTAAAGCTGAAGTGACCATAATTGAGAAGATAACATAATAATTGTTTTTTATTGCTATGTTCCTATTTAGGATAGAGATCCTGCTCCCCAAACTTATGTTAACCCCTTAGTTACACTTCTGTGCCTTCCTGTTTTTTCATTTAAACTTCTTGCAATGAAATGAATGTCTGTCTTCTGTGACTGGAAAAGAATGCTACATTTGAAAAGAGATAATTCAGTTTCCTTTCATGTCCATCTTTGGTGTTCCTTCCTGTGATCTTTTTTCCTCACTAAACTCTTCACTTTTTGTGATTTGCTTTCTAGCTTTTGGGGGAGCAATGTTGCCCTTGTGGTTTTTATTTATAACTAGATTAAAATATGCTCATCTTTGTATGTTGTTTACTTTCATTTACCCCCCTTCTTTTCATGTTCATGTGAGAGTATGCAGTATGCTTGTGTCTGTAGTTTAGACATTTCATGGATCACCAGACCTCTCTGTCGTGGGAATTTTTAAATTACATTCAAATATCTGCCTTTTTTTTTTCAAGTTTTCATTCCATGAAAGTCTAATTTTTCATCACAGCACTGACTTTAAGATAACTGAACCCACAGACTGAAATTCATAGAAGTTGTGAAACAGCTCTCTTTAAAATTCATACTTTATAACAAATTACAGGATATGGTAAATTACCTGACTTTTCATTTCCATTATACAGTGATAAATTAGTATTGTGGCCCAGTAGTTTTGTCATGAGATCAGAAGGATGGCTTGAGATCAGAAAGAGGAATGGGTGTTTAGAAACCTGTTTTCATACATTCTGTAATTGTTTCACTTTTATATTGTTGCCATTACCACTAGCTAACAGGAGAGGGTAAAGAGACAATTATAATTTCAGCTTCATTTGTGCATCAAAAGTGCTGTGTCCTAGTAGCCATTATATTTCCAGAAATACTGCACTGTAGGAATAGGTGGTGGTGTGTTTCATCTTTTACTGCTGTTAATTTGCCATACAGAGAGGAGGAATGCTGTTCACAAAGTACAAGCTCTGGACTTGCCAGAAATTTTGGTGCTAGCATCTTCATATCCACTCCTCACAAAATCCTCTTTTCTCACTGTGTACACAGCATGTAAGGGAGGAGTAGCCTATAGCTGCCTTCAGAAGAGCTGCATTTTTTATTAGCTTAGGGAATCAATTCATAAGTGCTTCATTTATATTGAGATCCAGAAGAATCTGTGATTATAGCCTGGCAACTGCCCCTTCCCTTCCTGTGTAATACAAGCTGGCATCTTGTTTTCATGTGGAAGAGTAGAGTAGGAAAGGTTATGTACTTGTGTGTTACAGTCAGATCAAGGCTGAATTAGCATCCTGCTCAGCAGAGCAAGGTGAAGTTGGACTGTTGTTAACAGTAGCAAAGTTATTTGCACAGATTGTTCATAGAGCTTTTGTAGCATGGTTCTCCTTTTCATGCGTGTTCCTGAATAACAGCAGAAACATGTAGCTGTATGATAGTGTCAAATAATAGCTATTTTCATGTCATTTATAGATGGTGAAACTGGAGGAAAATGATCCTGTCTATTATAGTGTGCTTTCACTTCCAGTAACAGCTCCTATCTTGTGTAATTCTTTGAAATACAGCATGAGCTCTTGGAGGAGAATATGAACTTGGTTTCTTGTGGTTCCCTTGTGGCTTTTGGTGAGGGCAAAACCCCCAGTCTCCTCAGGTAACTAATCCATGCAGCTTTGGATCACTCAGATCACAAAAGCAGTAAGCTTGTGGAGTCAGAAGTGTGTGGTAACATGTGATACAGCAATCCTGTGGAAATTGCAGCCCCATTGTCATTTGGAAGGAGAAAAGCTCAAAAGACCAAATGCTGATAAACTGCAGGGCTCCTATCCTCACTCTACCCTCCTATTTACCCCCAAGCAAAAACCCTACAAGCCCTACTGTTTTCTTACAGAAGGCAAGGACTACTACTGTTACCAGTAAAGTTAACTTTTAAAATTTATTTTTTTCATGCAGAGAAGCTTGTTTTATGTTTTTAGTGTGGGCAAAAGGTCACATTTAGTAGGGGAAGTTACTGAGGTTGGATGCTGGCAGTCATCTTCTGAATAGAGCAGGTCAAGCAGAATCCTGTCTCACCAGAAAGGAGAAAAGCTTCTGTTTTTCTTGCTAAAAATACCAACTTAGCAGGTAGTTAAGGTTTTCCTAATAAGTGGAACAATATAAACCCCATCTGTAACTCAAGGTATTGTGTGTACACTTTGTTGTTGTTTCCTCATGCATTGAGGTGTAAACCTCTGGCGGATTGTTTTATTCCTTTTAGTATGAGGGAGGGTACAGGAAGTATTGTATTCAGTGTAAAGGTAGAATAGTTGCTTTGAAATCTAATTAAATTAGTGACCCATGGCTGTGTAAAGTCTAGACCTATTCACAGCAGCATTTTTTATACAAGAGAGTTACTCCTTACATGAAAGATGATTTAAGTTGGGGAAACAAGAGTGTTTTTTCCCTACTGGTGATTGCTTTGCTAAATATCCTGCAAAATTCAGGTAACTGTGTTAGAATAAAAGCTGTATTTATTGGTGTCACTTTCCTCTATGTCGTTTTTTTAAATCTAGAGAAGAATTATATAAAGATCTTGTCAGTATTAGAGAAGTTTGAATAAACTTATTTTTCTACCATTACAGCCAAGCCAATCAAATTCTATAAAATTCTATATTAAAAAAACACCTTTAGTCAGCTTAACCTTTATGTTGGTAAATTACCAAATTAACCTTAAATGAGTTTAAGAGCATATTTAGTGTCATCAGCATTAGCACCAATTTAGCTGATTTTTAAAATTGAGCTGAATTAAGCTTAGATGAGCAATTAGATTTGCAAAATTTAGGAAATCTTTTGAAAGTGCCTGAATGATTTAGCAGCCTAAATACTCTTCTGGAATATAATTGAGGACTTGAGGAACTTTCTGCTACTTTTGTTGTGAAATAGCAGTTTTGTACAGTGCTGAGCAAGTGAGCTCCTGGGCTCAGCTGTGTGGCTGCAGCAGAGCTCCTGTAGCCCAGGGCAGGTAAGTGGCCCCCGCTGAGCACCACCCTCACTGGGTGCAGTGGGAGCATCTTTAAAAATCAGTCTAATGTTATTGTTACAGCTCTGTGGTTTTGAGTAATTCTGAGCATGATGTAGTCAGTTTTAATCCACTGGCTAAAATTTCAGATACGTTAAGTCAGTTCCTTTGGTTCCATTTCACATGCTTAAGAAATAAGCAATAGCTGATACTTCTGTGCATACTTCTGTGCCAGGAGTTTCTGAGCAAAAGGCAGAGTTCTCTTTTCTTCTCTTGATGGTTGCTCCCTTCTTAATAGATTGTACTTTTTATTTCTGGGGAAAATAATCAGTGAAAGTGGCAAGTGTCCTGCTTTTTCATTCACCAGCAAGGGAAAAACGAATTTATTAGCTGGCTGGTTTAAAGATGCTGACTCCACCTTCTGATCTGACTTTCCACCGTCCTATTGGGAAGGGGTTGGCACTACAGAGCAGACTGAGTTAAGATGCCTGTGGAATCTTCACTGCTGGTGTTGACTGTTTTAGTGCCCCATGCCACTTCAGGCATGTAGGAGCATTTCAGCAACTTTTATTTTGTTTATTGGCCAGTGAGTATAAATGTGTGCTAAGGGGGAAGTTAAAATGTGCCGCTTGAGGTGGTGGTGGGGGAAGAAAAAATATAATTTATTAGACTG